GTACGCTCAACATACAAAGACTTCCAAGCCTTCGCCCGCTGAGTCCGTCTTGGGCGCGGGTGATTCTGCGAGCTCTGTAGGGCTCACGCGCGCGCAAATGCAACTCGTCGTTGTGCACGACCATCGCCAGCGACCCATGCCTTTCGTCGACGAGGACCAGCTGCACAAAACAGCCCAGCACCTCAACTTCTCCGAGGCAGAGATGCAAAATCGTGCCGCCATCGAGCGGCCGGTTCAGTCGGGCCTCCTCCTCCCGAAAAATGTCTTCGCCTCGCTCGCGGCGCGCCACGGTTCTGATGAGATATTAGACGTCATCTGCAAGACACACCCCGACATCAACGTGGTTGCGCCGTCGTTGCCAGAAACACCACATTAACGCCCCCGACAAAGTGCTCACAGACGCTGCTAAGCTACATTACGAGGCAGTCAACGACCTCACCGGCCTAGACGTCGTCGCCGCGCACGAATTCGCACGCCTGGGCACACTCACCACGCTCGGACATTATCCCGAGAAGCCGCTGCCCGACGTCCCATCTCGTCCGCAAGCGCGAGCTGCCTGGTTGTGTCGGGAGGCGTGTCAGTACGAGGCAGTCGTATCGGGGTACAAGTCGCGGCACATACAGATGCAGGCCCACAGCTTCGACTGGCTTGGCGACTATCTGGACACCGCGCGGGACCGGCTGGTAGAGCAGTTCGGGGGTGCCGGGCGGTCAGGGTTTGAGGTCGAATTCAGGGAGCCCCAGCTGCGAGTCGCCGTTGAGCCTGGCTCAAAGAAAACGCAGGCGACGTGCTTGTCTGGGAGGGTCGATATAGTGTGGTACAACCACAGCATGGCGGTGTTGTCACAGGACGACGAAGTGAATAAAACATTTCCGAAGTGGATGCGAAAGAAGAAGGTAAGGAAGAGCGCCGCCACCGCCAGGCCCGGAGACGGGGAGGTCATCTCCATTTGGGAGATCAAGCTGGTCGCGAAGCTCTTACTCGAGCACGCCGTGCAGGCGTGCATCTATGCCCACCTATGGGCCCTTCAAAGGCAGCGGGGCCAGCAGGGCGACGTGTCGCCGCTGCCACATATCATCTTGTTCAATGTACGCGATGGCGAAAGTTGGGAAATCGTGCCGAAAAGTGGGGCGATGAGCTTGAGGAATGTTGTGGAGGAGGTGTTGAGGGCCAAGTACTCGACCAGAGGCACATCAACGACAGATGATTTTTTGAGAAAGAGTGCAAAGACGAATGCAGAGGTGGAGGGATATTGGAAAGGTAGTCAATAGAGTCCCCGGATGCCGCGCTCAAGAAAGTCAGGCAAGATAGAAGACAGCGCAGATGTCATGCTATGACAGATTATTTCGTGTAGACTAATTGTAAAATGCTCCCATACTATCCGCTTACACCGAAAAGATTGAAGAACCCGTTCTCATTGTCGCGGTCCAGCTCAAACTATCCCATCAGGCTGCTTGTCAAGGTCGTGGCACTCGTCTTTTCGACGCCGCGCACTACCATACACATGTGGCTGCACTCCATGACGACCGCGACGCCTTGTGGCGCCAATAGCTCCATGATAGCCGTGGCAATCTCCTTAGTGAGACGCTCCTGGATCTGCAGACGACGGGAGAATATTTCAGCGATTCGTGCGAGCTTAGAGAGGCCGATGATAGTGCCAGAAGGGACATAGCCGATGTGCATCTAAAACTGGTGGTTGAGCTTTCATCCTCACATAACCAACATGGCAGTCGTGCTGAGGAAGGGAGGTGCTTGCCTTGCCGGTAAAGGGCACCAGGTTTTGTTCGCAGAGACTGATCATCTCAATGTCATTGACAATGACGATTCCGTCGTGTCCCTCGGAGAAGAGCGCATTGTTCACAACCTCTTGGACGCTGACCTGGTAGCCCT